AACTGTTTGTTCATAAGCATTTCTTCTGTTTCCATGATACCACACAGCTTAAGGGCCTCCGTGTTTGGAATTCTGTCCCACCAGTTCACATGGGCGATCTTCCTGAGGAACTGATCAAGTTTGGAAACGTGGCGGCGATCTATGGTCCATGACTCTGATCCATACAACAGGACAGTCAGGACAACTGGTGACTGTCCAACTGCCTGACAAACTGCTACCTTCCTATGAAGTTTAACACCAGCGTCATTCCATAGGCATTTGGTCAATCTTCCAAAAGCAGCACTGGCTTTGGCTAATCGAGCAATTACAACGTCAACAGTGTTTATACTGGAGAACAGATATAATTCTGTAGAAAAGGACCTGGGGATTACAGTGGACGAGAAGCTGGATATGAGTCAGCAGTGTGCCATTGTTGCCAAGAAGGCCAACAGCATATTGGGCTGTATAAGTAGGAGCATTGCCAGCAGATCAAAGGAAGTGATTATTCCCCTCTATTCGACACTGGTGAGGCCACATCTCAAGTACTGCATCCATTTGTGAGACCCCCACTAGAGAAAGGATGTGGACAAATTGGAGAGAGTCCAGCGGAGGGCAACAAAAATGATTAGGGGGCTGGGGCAAATGACTTATGGGGAGATGCTGAGGGAACTGGGCTTATTTAGTCTGCAGAAGAAAAAAATGAGGGGGGATTTGATAGCAGCCTTCAACCTCCTATAGGGGGATTCCAAAGAGGATGGAGCTCGGCTGTTCTCAGTGGTGGCAGATACAGAACAAGGAACAATGGTCTCAAGTTGCAGTGGGGGAGGTCTAGGTTGGATATTAGGAAACACTATTTCACTAGGAGGCTGGTGAAGCACTGGAATGGGTTACTAGGGAGGTGGTGGAATCTCCATCCGTAGAGGTTTTTAAGGCCCGGCTTGACAAAGCCCTGGCTAGGATGATTTAGTTGGTGTTGGTCCTGCTTTGAGCAGGGGATTGGACCAGATGACCTCCTGAGGTCTCTTCCAATCCTAATCTTCTATGATTCTATAAACTCTGTCTTCTTGAGAGTCACAGTGAGTCCAAAATGGTGAGCAGAGGTAGCAAAATGATCAAAAAGTTTCTGAGGGGTAGCTGTGTTAGTCTGTATCAACAGACCTTCTTGTCAACTGTTGAGATTAGGCCACATCCACCCTGATTGAATTGGCCTCATTAGCACTGACCCCCTCCCCCTACACGCTTGGTAAGGCAACTCCCATCTTTTCATGTGCTGTGTATTTATACCTGACTCCTGTAATTTTCACTCCATGCATCTGATGAAGTGGGTTCGAGCCCATGAAAGCTTATGCCCAAATAAATGTGTTAGTCTCTAAGGTGCCACAAGGCAGTCGAGGATGCAAAACGTTTCTGGGCATCCGCGACTGAATGAGCCAACAAAGCCCAGTCATCAGCAAAGAGGAGGTCACAGATGGTTGTAGTGAACACTTTGGTGTGAGCCTGAAGTCTTCGGAGGTTGAAGATGCTGCCATCAGTTTGGAACTGAATGGGTATGGCCGACTTGCAATCCTTGAAAGCAATGAACAGCATCATTGAAAAGTAGATGCTGAACAGGAGAGGAGCAAGGACACATCCTTGCATTTGGTACTTCAAAAGGTACCTATATCTCTCCATTGTCATGGAAACGACCCATAATGCTTAGGAGCCGCTTCGTAGTTTCTTGCCGGCGATCCGCATTCTTCTGGCAGACTCTCCTTTCACTTTCCCACCACTCTTGTAATCTTTGATTTTCAGCAAGGGACTGCTGCAGGACTTCATGCAGAAGGTCCTCCTGGCTTCTTCGCGGCCACTTCCTGAGGCTGCGCAGCCTTTCGGCCGTTGAGAACAAGGAGGGCTGGGATCTCAAGGATGCATCTGTGAGGCCAAAATGCAACATTTTACAGAGGCGGCATTGTTAATGCTAGACAGAGCAATGATTCGACTGAACTTAAAGACAAGCACAGTTCACACAATAGCACAAACTGCCTGTCCCAAGGCGAGCGCACATAACCCACAAGAGCCCCAAAATGGTGAGTAACCACAGGGGCAGGGGGAACTGATTGTTCCAGGGCTGTACTATCCTCTGGGGTCCTGTGTCTTTGGGAGATCCAAGAGTTGCAGGGGGCCCCTACACTCAACACTGTCCCCACATTTTCCACAGCCTGGGTTCGTCTTGGAAGATATCTCGCTGCTGAGGGTGACCTGGGAAGCAAGGGAGGGTCTTCTGCAAGAATGCGGATTCCGCCCTGGCCCATATGTGGCTTGCCTGTGTGCAGCAATGGTCCCCCCGCCCCTCACGGCACAGTGGCGCGGACATGTTAGCCTGACTGGGACAAGGAGCACAGTAACTCTGCCAAGGAACCTGCATAAGCGAAGTGCTCAGCTTCTGCATGAGACCTTCGATGAGACCACTGAGGCCGATTACCGCGTTGTGAGAGAGTAAATCAACGTCCTATTCTGCACTAGGCATGCACACAGCCAAGCCTTCTTTCTGCAACCCTCCTCGCCCCAACAACCCGCACCCAACAACTCCCTTCACCAAATCAAAGCCGCTTACCGGGCGCATCCTCTGCTGTTTGCTCTTCCCTAAGCACCGGATGCTGTGATTGGCAAGCTTCCTCTGGGCTTGAAAACAGCTCCTGGCTGCATGCATCTAGAGATGGCGAGTCATACTCTGGGTCTGGGCACCCCTCCTCCTCAGCACCCTCGCTCCCCCTTTCCTCCTCATCCTGGCTCGTTGCACTCTGGGCTGGCACGGCCTCTGAAGTGTCCATGGTGCTTTTCCGACTGGAGGTGGGGTCATCCCCAAGTATCACGTCCAGCTCTTTGTAGAACCGGCAGCTTGTGGGCACAGCACTGGATAGGCAGTTTGCCTCCTGCGCCTTGCGGTAGGCATCCTACAGCTCCATCACTTTAACCCTGCATTGCAGTGTGTCCAGGTCATGGCACCTTTCGGTCATGGCCCTTAATATCTGTCCATAGGTATCATAATTCCTACGGCTGGAGCGCAGCTGGGACTGGACAGCCTCCTCTCCCCAAATGCTGATGAGGTCCAGTACCTCGGCATTGCTCCATGCTGGGGATCGCCTGACGTGTGGAGGCATGGTCACCTGGAAAGATGCGCTGAGAGAACTCCACAGAAGGGGACTTTCAAATTTCCCAGAGAATTTAAAGGGCAGGTCTGACGGTTGGTCACCTGAGGCCAGGGCAGTAGAGTTCAAAGTGACGACCAGAGTGGCTAGAACAGGCATTGTGGGACACGTCCTGGAGGTTGATCAGAGCGCATTAATAGACCAGGCTGTCCACAGTGGCACTACGGCGCTTCAGCCCAGGTGCAGAAAGCTCTATGCCTCTCGTGGAGGTGGATTACGAGGGGCGCTCCAGCTGCGGGTTCCAGGCACTCTATATGCCTTGCCAGTGTGGACACCTCAGGAGTTATGGCGCCCGGGGCTGATTTAATGCGCTCCAACTTGCCAGTGTAGACAAGGCCTAGATCTCCTCCAGAGGAAGACTCACCAGGCTGCAGCAGCCATAAAATAAGCATCGGAGGAGGTGGATGGGTGGATATTAAGACCCAGGGGTGCCCCAAATTTTCAGGTGCCCTGCCCTATGCAGCTGCATATTCTGTGTATGCCCAAGTATAGCTCTGAGTTCGTGAGTGTGTCTGTTTAGCTGTGTGCATATCTCACTCCAGGTGTGTTTCTAATTGTGTACATTTTGTCTGTCTCAGTGTAGCTGTGTGTGTGTCTGTGTCTCTGTCCAGTTGTCTATTTGTCTGGTTGCGTGTGTGTTTGTTTCAGGTTAGGTATGTGCAGTATTTTCCCCAAGATTTGAAACTAGAGGGTGTTTGAATTGACAAAGGGGGGGAGGGGGGGGAAAATGACGGACTGACCACTGTCATGGGGGGGGAGGGGGGGGA